GCTTATTACTGGCCTCCTTATAATAAAAGGCAAGAGACAGATTGTTGCTGTCTGTCCTCTTTCAGCTACACTGCTTCCTGTTACTCATTTTATATCACTAGGTTGAAACCATTCTAACAACCAAATGTATTACAACTGATGAACACGATTAATGTTATTTAATAGACATACAAATGTAATTGATTATTCACAACTGGAACAGACAACTAAATAAGTATGAAGGTAGTAGGAGATAGCACCAGCAAGAATCACTGCTGCCTGTGTTAACTGTGTGAAAGAGTAAGAGAAACACATTATCCTGCTCCGGTCTTCTTAACACTTTAATCCTCATATTACATCCTCAGGGGGGTCTTCTTTATCTTGCATGACATTGAGCGGTAAAACATTTACCGTATTGTATTTTAAATGTATATAAAGTCAGAGGTCTGAAATGAATCGAGCGGACTCCATTTGGTTTCTACAAACTTTCACTGAGTGAATTGTGTTCTCTTAGCAGGCAGCAGCCAAGCAATTCCTATGGGAGGTCTAATGAGGTGTCTTCGTGCATTTCAGGGGAGAATGCGCCGATTTTAGTGGCCACATTTAACATAAAACATAAGTTTTACAGAGCAGGAAACACAGAGCCAGAGCAGAGAGCGACGTGAAGCAGGAGATGGGAGAGAGTGCGGGGAGCTGCGTCTGTCAGTTTGAGCCAATCAGAAATGGTGCTGAACAGCCAATCGGGTGTCAGCTTGAGCTATATAAGAGAGACTGGCACAGGCCAAGGTTTAATTCTTATTACCGTCTGATCTCAGAGAAAAAGCGAAATGGCTGAAACTGCTCCCGCTGCCGCACCTGCGGTTGAAATCGATTCTAAGAAGAAGCAGCCTAAGAAGACATCCAGCGCCAAGAAAGTCGCCAAGCCGTCCGGTCCCAGCGTATCCGAGCTCATTGTTAAAGCTGTGTCTGCCTCTAAAGAGCGCAGCGGTGTTTCCCTGGCAGCCCTGAAGAAGTCTTTGACCGCCGCTGGTTACGATGTGGAGAAGAATAACAGCCGCCTCAAGCTGGCTCTCAAGGGCTTGGTGACTAAAGAGACTCTCGTCCAGGTCAAAGGGAGCGGAGCCTCTGGCTCTTTCAAGCTCAACAAGAAGCAGGCGGAGAGCAAGGACAAGGCTGCTAAGCCCAAGAAGGCACCGGCTAAAGTCAAGAAGCCCGCCCCAAAGAAAGTCACCAAGTCTCCGGTTAAAGCCAAGAAAGTGGCCGCAAAGAGCCCGAAGAAGGCCAAGAAGCCGGCAGCCCCCGCTAAAAAAGCCACCAAGAGCCCCAAGAAAGTCAAAGCCGCCAAGCCCAAGAAGGCAGTGAAGAGCCCGGCTAAAAAGGCAGCCAAGCCCAAAGCCGCCAAGAGTCCAGCAAAGGCTAAAAAGGCAGCTCCCAAGAAGAAATAAGAACTGTTAGTGTTTTTTTTTTTTTTTAAATCCCAAAGGCTCTTCTAAGAGCCACCAACTTGTTCTTTCAGAGCTATGAGCACGGGGAAATCGTGGGTTTTGAGTGTATTAGCTTTTACACGCTGTATGTTGAGCAAGGGGATATTCGTTTAGATTAGGAATGGAATGCTCGGACGTTCCAATTTAGATTGTTCAGCTATCGCTGCCAGTACAAAATAGGTTTGGTTTTGTAAACACATCTACTGCCTACAATACAGATTTAGGAGTATTTATCAAGCTGTTGGTGCCATTGCAATCTGTGACGGTGTCCTGAAAGGGATTAGATGCTCCCCGTCTCAGTTTGGAGACTTGTAATAAAAATACATTCACCCAAGCAACGGTGTATTCCAAAGGCATATTTAATGCAATGTCGCCATCTAGCGGCCTATTGTAAGGAGTCACTTCATGTTGAAACGCAAAGCTGCAAGAGCCATAAACAGAGTGACCGGACCCTAATAAACGCCCACTGACAAATCTACAAACACGCAGGAGTGGGACTGATGATATGTCAGGGAGTCCGCTTTGGTCTCCCTCCTCCCTGTTCGTGGAATAGTTTAATGAATCGCTGCAGCGGGTAGAACGCCAATAATACCAGTTATATAAAAGCAGATCTAGTTCCGTCTCTATAATCAGTGAGGATGGACATTTTAGCGCCCAGTTTGAACTCAGGAACGGTTAATTTTCTCGTCCAATCAGAATGCGGACAAAAAGCAGCGAATCAAAATTAGTACAGAGAACGGGCCAATCAGAATGCGTCCAGCGGCCTATAAATAGAAGACTGCGGCTCTTTGTTTTTCATTCGAGTTTTAATTTCTGTGATCGCGAAGAGATGGCCAGAACTAAGCAGACCGCCCGTAAATCCACCGGAGGCAAGGCTCCCCGTAAGCAGCTAGCTACTAAAGCTGCCAGGAAGAGCGCCCCAGCTACCGGCGGAGTGAAGAAGCCTCACCGTTACCGGCCGGGAACTGTGGCTCTCCGGGAGATCCGCCGTTATCAGAAGTCCACCGAGCTGCTCATCCGCAAGCTGCCCTTCCAGCGCCTTGTCCGTGAAATCGCTCAGGATTTCAAGACTGATCTGCGCTTCCAGAGCTCTGCTGTCATGGCTCTGCAAGAGGCTAGTGAGGCTTACCTGGTGGGTCTCTTTGAGGATACCAACTTGTGTGCCATCCACGCCAAGAGGGTCACCATCATGCCCAAAGACATCCAGCTGGCCCGTAGGATCCGAGGAGAGAGAGCATAAGATTTTAACCTGCTCACACAAACACCACAAAGGCTCTTTTAAGCCAAATCTGCACTCGAATGAGCCTAAATCCTTCCCCTCCACGTAGCCCTGTTACACCTGTGAATATAATCCTAAACACAGGAACTGCCATGAGTGCTTTCAGTTACGCGAACAGAAGCAATAGCTGACTTAGTTATTCACTATTCACTTTTGCTAAAAAAAGAAATCCACTATAAAATACCCCCCGTTTTTAGATTAACATTTAGTGGTTGAACCTAGCCTGAGACTGGTATATTTTTAGTACAGAGTCGGTGTATATATATTTTTTTTAACGGTGCAGAGTCGGTGGTAATAACATTCAGCTCAGTTCGGAAATAGTGGGTGGCTCTTAAAAGAGCCTTTGGGTATGAAGAATCGGTGTCCGATGATTTACTTGCTCTTGGTTGACTTGTGGCTCTCGGTCTTCTTGGGCAGCAGCACAGCCTGGATGTTGGGCAGGACACCTCCCTGGGCGATAGTCACTCCTCCCAGCAGCTTGTTGAGCTCTTCGTCGTTACGGACGGCGAGCTGGAGATGGCGGGGAATGATGCGGGTTTTCTTGTTGTCTCTAGCGGCATTCCCTGCCAGTTCCAGGATCTCAGCGGTCAGGTACTCCAGCACTGCAGCCAGATAGACGGGGGCACCGGCTCCCACACGCTCTGCATAATTCCCCTTCCTCAGCAGACGATGAACTCTGCCGACTGGGAACTGAAGACCAGCTCGGGATGAGCGAGTCTTCGCCTTTGCACGGGTCTTTCCTCCTTGCTTTCCGCGGCCAGACATGTTGGTTCAAGAATGTCCCTGATAATAACGAAACCTCCCCTTCATAGGGGCTATTTATAGACACACTCTGCTCTGTGATTGGATGGCTTTACAAGCAGCCTATTAGAGACACATTATACAGGGAACCAATCAATTGCTGAAACTATGACATCGTTATGTCACCTGTCTGCAGTGACCAATCCCATCACGGGAAGCGGAAGGGCTTAATTTGCATGGCTTGCCTATAAATAGAGCTGCCGGAGCGCGCAGAGTGACATAGTATTTCCAACAAGCAGCGTAGATCATGCCTGATCCTGCCAAGTCCGCACCAGCCGCCAAGAAAGGCTCTAAGAAAGCCGTGACAAAGACCCAGAAGAAAGATGGTAAGAAGCGTAGGAAGACCAGGAAGGAGAGCTATGCCATCTACGTGTACAAGGTGCTGAAGCAGGTCCACCCCGACACCGGTATCTCCTCCAAGGCCATGGGAATCATGAACTCCTTTGTCAATGACATCTTTGAGCGCATCGCAGGAGAAGCCTCTCGCCTGGCTCACTACAACAAGCGCTCTACCATCACCTCCCGGGAGATCCAGACCGCCGTGCGCCTGCTGCTGCCCGGGGAGCTGGCAAAGCACGCCGTGTCCGAGGGCACCAAGGCTGTCACCAAGTACACCAGCGCCAAGTAATCGCATTCTTCTACTTTACTATAAACACAAAGGCACACATAAGAGCCACCCACACTGTCTGTCAGAGCTCTAGTCCTCCTGATAAACCCGCTAGTACCTCTACTGCTCTCAGTATTTATGGTTTAGTGAATCTCACATATTGCACAAACTTTTGTATCACTAGTTTGAATTGCCTTCACCTTCTAGATGGATTTTTAACTGAAATCCGTCTTTAGAAAACCTGCTCCATTCCGCATTACCGGAATTACGGACAAGTGAATGGAACTTGTGGGTCCCAAGGAGCCACCTTGGAGGTTTGGCAACTAACGCGTGTAGTGCATTTATAGCTGTGGTGGGAGTAGGATGTAGAAAAGACAAACCGCTCCTTGATATGGCCAATGCTATGTCCCTATAGGCAGGAGACAGGTCCTCAGGGAACAATAACTAATCACATGGAAATCGCGCTTCTCTGTGGCTGAGCTTCACAGGGGAAATTCCACAAATAGCCACAAGGCGGCGACAATAGGCCGCATTCAGTGTTTTCTTTCCCCCGGGTTCTGTCTTAGAGCACGGAGGACCTGCACACCACACTGCTGGGGTGAAAGGTTTCTTTATAAAATTCTGGGGTTTATTACAACTGGTTAACATGACGGCTCTTAGAGCCAGTAATAAGCGAGAGTTTAACATTAACCCGGCCACAGTGAACGCCAATGTAACAAAGATAAGGGAAGCCGGCATTAACTAGCACACAGAGCGTCCAACGCGGGCAGTGACAGACACAGCTCTATTAGGATATAGTGGGTGGCCCTCAAAAGGGCCTTTGGGTTAGTAGGGTGTGCGGTAAGCCGAGTCAGGGTATTACCCTCCGAAGCCATAGAGAGTGCGGCCCTGGCGTTTGAGGGCATAGACTACGTCCATGGCGGTCAGTCTTCCTCTTGGCATGCTCGGTGTAGGTGACGGCGTCCCGGATAACATTCTCCAGGAAGACCTTCAGCACCCCGCGAGTTTCTTCGTAGATGAGACCGGAGATACGTTTCACTCCACCCCTGCGAGCCAGGCGGCGAATTGCAGGCTTGGTAATGCCCTGGATGTTGTCACGCAGGACCTTCCTGTGCCGTTTAGCGCCGCCTTTCCCGAGACCCTTTCCGCCTTTACCTCTGCCAGACATGGTTCTCTTCTATGACAATCACAGACGAATGAAGAATTTGAGCGCCGTGCAAGGCTTTATATAACGTGAGTACGACCTGATGGGGAACTGCACAACAAGTAGGCAGAGTGATAGAGGGCGTGGTTAGGGTGTGAAGTCACGCCCACTCATTGTCCTTTTGGCGCTCAACAGGAAAGCCTTACAGACTCTCCTATGAGAACACGGGGGGAGGGGCAAACACGGAATCATTGGTCAGTTTGTAAATTATTACTCCTGGCGCCAGCCCTCACAACGGTACTTCCTCCCATCGGTTTCAACAACAAAATAAGATGGAAAAATAAATGCTGGTGTTCTCTACAGCAAAACTTTTGATAAACATTTTTTTTTTTTTTTAAAAAACAACCCAGTTTGCTATTTATTCATATAGTATCACAATTTATTCTATAACTGGAATTGGAAAAAGAGAGGATAGCAGTATGTAGTGTATATTATTTGTAGTGTATATTATTATAAATAATAATAATAAACGCTCATTGATTAGTAAAGGTGCAAAAATGATAAAAATCTTAGTACAGAAATCATGTATCACTCCTTTTGTTAAAAGGCTGGATTGTTATTTTCCGAAGGCACCACTAGAGGCTACTATAGTACTACATACTGCTATCCTGTCTCACACACAGTTACAGACACTCATTACACTAAATAGCTTTAGGTAGCTGTCCTGCAGTCTAAATATAATGGCCTATATGTCACAGAAGCCTGCTCAGTTAATTTTAAAATGTTGAACTGAATGAAAATCCATTGTGTTTAATAAGCTTATATAAAAGGCATTGAGAAATGTGTCTTGGTGTCCAGCACCAAAATTAATTATCATGTCTTGACCTAATTAAGTCCAAGACACCAGGGTTTGGTTTGTAGGGGGATAAATACATGTGGTTGTCCCCGAAATAAAAATTTCTCTTCTTTTACCGAATACAAGTGGTCTTGTCCACTATATTGGGGGATTTTACAATGTTCCAGAGGGCTATAATCACTGTATGCTGTAGCTGAATACAGGACCAGTGAAGGATTACAGAAGTGGTGACCACGGGTCACTAGGAGATCCTATTACCCATGACAAGGTGTAATACCAGTAGTCAGTAAAACTATACATATGAAAGGTCTATGACAATAAATACAACTCTCTCTCTTCTCTCATACTAAATCAGCTGGTGTCTGGAAACATTTAAAAACATTGTGGTGACCAGAACCTCTCCATGGGCTTTTGGAGAGGCCTGCTTGCCAGCCTCCTGCCAAAAGACTATGGGCTAGGTCAGCGACTGTAAAGACCCAGATGTTATTACCCCTGGTACGGCACTTTCTATAGAACCGAATGCTAGCTCACTGGCGGCTGTTTGCAGGGACCAAAACCACGAATAGACTTCAGGGGGACTTAGTCGCGAATGCCCTGGAACTATTTTCGGCATGAAAACTTTATGGTTCCCAGTCGGTCCCCAGCGGCACTTAGCCGCGATTCTATGAAACTGTTTTGGACCATGCGTGCGGTCGGCCATAACTATGACTTCCAGGAAATTCCTGAACTCCTGAACTGATCTGGGAGACTTTTGGATATGTTGTTCACCCAGATAGGGGCTATCAGGGGATATAACTACAAAAATACAATAAATACAGTACTTGACTCAATTATCTCCCAAGTACAGAGGAGGGATTGACCTAGTTTGTATGGGAGTGTCCTGGATCTGAAAACCAATGTGATGTTGTATTTGTTTCTACTGTGGTTTACTCTCAGGTCCAGAGGGGAGTGCCGCTTGCATGGGGATTGTCATAAAAGATCAAGCGTGGTCCCATTAAAACCAGTTCACTTCACCATCAACATGCAGCCTCGTTTCGTAATTGTAGGTAACAGCTATACCTGCTTCTGATTGCTATATTGAGTATAATCACCTGCTAAACTCTCTGGAGTAGGAGAGGTCCACCATGGGCGTAGGAACCTCCAAAAATCTGGGGGGGGATATCATTTTTACTCACCGAGTATATTTTTATTCTGCAAACTAGGAGTTGTTTATCCCATTGTACAGTTCTACGGAATTTGCTGGCGCTATATAAATGATAAAATAATAACATTAAAGGGTCACTACAGGGAAGGGGATTTACTTACCCATATACAGCTTCAGGATCCTCAAAATGACGAAATAGGAGGGTGCGAGCAGGAAGCAATAAAACACTTCTATTCAGAAGTGTCATTGCTGCCTGGTGCGCGTGCGCAGCTTTGCCGCACATGCGCAGATACTTCATAGGGCGGCATTCATGTCTCGACTAGGAAGCACCTCTAGTGGCCATCTGAGTGTCCACTAGAGGTATTCCTCAGCAGTAATGTAAATACTGCCTTTTTACATGCTATAGACACCAGAACTAATACGTTTAGCTGTTGTGGTTCTGGTGACTATAGTGTCCCTTGAAAATAGAGGGGAAAAAAGAATCATCACAAATGTAAGAAATAAAATGTCTGTATCATTATTCTAAAAAGTATTTTAAAAAAAAAATGCACATTCCTAGCTTATTTTTTAGCACGACATTTGACACAAACATTTTGTACTTTGCAGATTACTTTTTATATTTTTTTTATACATATACAGATTGTGTAATACTGCCCCTGACTTAGGATGACCACATTTCCTAACTGCCATTCAGTGACACTTTCAGAAGTGCATTCCATACATTTTACTACCCATCTCTACCCCTTCCATTTATATTAGAACCACCCTTACCCCTTCCATGAATATTAGAACCACCCCTACCCTTTCCATGCACATAAGAACCCCACCTACCCCTTCCATGCATATTAACCCCCCTACCCCTTCCATGCATATTAGTACCCCCCTAACCCCTTCCATGCATATTAGAACCCACCCTACCCCTTCCATTCATATTAGTACTCCCCTAACCCCTTCCAATAATTTTTCTACCTCCCCCCTCCTCCCATCCATATTAGTAGCCCCCCTAAACCCTTCCAATTATTTTTCTACCTACCCCTCTCCCCCATCCATATTAGTAGCCCCCCTAACCCCTTCCAATTATTTTTTTACCTCCTCCCATCCATATTAGAAGCCCCCCTAAACCATTCCAATTATTTTTCTACCTTCCCCCTCCTCCCATCCATATTAGTAGAAAACCCTTCCAAATATTTTTCTTCCTCCGCCTTCCTCCCATCCATATTAGAAGCCCCCCTAAGCGCTTACATTAATTTTTCTACCTCCCCCTCACCCCTTCTTTAACCCTTCCATTAATTAACACTAAAAATGCTTAGGCAGCTGTTTTTTTTTTCTTTTCAGAGGTGACCGGCTCTGGTCTCCCCCCTACAAACTGTTGTCCCCCCCTTTTACCTGACATAGCAGGGGGACCTCTGTACGTCACGTGACACCCGGCGCTCCTGTGCGGAAGGGGAGGTACTCCCCTTCCCAGTCTGCAGTGCGTGCGGTTCCCTGATGGAGCCACCAGCGGCCGGCGGAGCGGGGGGGGGGGGATTTCTCTATACCCTGTTCCCCCCTGTCCCTCCCGCATGATTTGCTGGGGGGGATGCGTCCCCCCATCCTCCCCGGTTCCTACGCCCATGAGGTCCACCCACTGGAAGCTGGATCCTGGGCTTGGGTCCAGGGTGGGTGGATTAGAGCGAGACCCCAGCCAAGCTACGGCTGCTAAGGGGCTACGGTGCTTATGGTGTCTGGTGCAGTGCTTATAGTACTCCAGGCTACTAGGAAGCAACGATTGGCGGAGGAACCCAGTTGGGGTGCCAGGCGGTCCTTCACATAAATAAAGTTTTACATTAGAGGGGCAAAGGTTTAAAAATAATACCAGCAAGTATAACTTTACTGAGAGGGTAGTGGATGCATATAACAGCCTTCCAGCTGAAGTGGTAGAGGTTAACACAGTAAAGGAGTTTAAGCATGCGTGGGAAAGGCATAAAGCTATCCTAGTTATAAGATAAGGTGTGGGGATATTTATGGGGTAATAATAGTAACAGTGAGAATTGCCCACTAATTCAATTCTCAGATCCTAAAGAACGTTTATCGTGTTAAGTGGAATGTATTTCATATAATTGATATCACAATGTATAAAAATAGATTTTATTTATGATAACCAATAATTAACAAATAATATTATGTAACATGCATGACAATAATCAATGAATATCCAGTATGAAATGGTATGCAATACAAAGGAATGGGTATTACGTTTCAATGGCTAACTAGCATTTTCTGTCAAGAATTCTGACGATTTATGAGGTATCCTTACACAGATTGAAAGTGAAACTTTTCACACAGAGAACAGAATTCCTCAGAGTGCAGCGTAAGGTCGTAAAGTTTAGCCGACAGTTAGAATAACCCTTTCAATGCTGGCTAGATCTCCTAGGTAGTTAAGATCTATTCTTTTGTAATTTTTAAATAAAAATAACGTTTAACCAGTTCATTAGCCGTTTTCTTAAAATCATCCAATAAGAGAATTTACCACATTATATAAGCAGATTTTTAATTTGTCTAAAAGATATCTATCTTAAATTAGAGCAAATCAATACACCTGGATAAAAACAGCGGTATGCTAACACGTGATAATATCACATCAATATATAATTATTCTTAATTCCACCTGCAGAATGGAATATTTATAACTATATATTCTTAGTTAACTAAGATTTCTTAATATGGAAATCTGACCGTGCTTTATCCAGTCATATATAATGCTATTAATACATTTAATTAATTTAATTTAATTAAATGAAACCAGTATAATTACCAGTTGAGTAGATATTTCATCCGATCGGTAGTCTCTCTGCATGGAGGTGTTGGTTAGAAAGTCAGTAAATTCTAAGTGTTAGAGTTTTAGGAGTAGAGTGTTAGTCTCAGATGTTGTCCGAGTTGGAGTCCCCAAACTTCCAATTCCTCTCTCCTCTCCTTTGCATATGTCCTGCATCTGCCTCCTCTTTTCTATCTTCCCTTTGTCTTAACTTTTAAAGGGCCAGACTC